AAATGAAGTGGGATACCCCCTCAAAAGTTCGTGGCAACGGCAATTTGTCGCTTCCCACACAAGAGTCTTTGTCGACGCCCAAATCCCAGCTGACAGAGCCTTCCAATGATGACACCAATGGTTCTCAAGCAGGTATGCCTTGTTCCTCGCCTTCATACGACACCTTTCCGTGAATGCTGACAACGGTGATGCCGCACCAGACGGTTCAACGTACTACGCGTTCCAAAGCATCTGCAGCCACCGAAAAGTCGACACTCTCGATGGCACCGACGCCTTCGAGATGCTCGTTCAATGGGAAGATAACTCGACAACATGGGAGTCTGAGGAGTGCCTCCACCAGGACGCCAAGTCTGCTGTCTTTGAGTACTGGGCCTCCCAGGGCGGCAGGCACCTCTTCATGAATAACGATGGGATGTGGTTGGTGCACGAGATCATGGACTTCAGGGCTTCACGAGCTGGTGATGATCGATATTTGGTCGAGTGGGTGGGACATCCGAAGCACACATGGGAGCCAGCGAGCCTACTTCCGGCCCATCTAATTGACGAATATTGGGCTCGGCGGGAGGAACAGTCCGGAAAGCGACCTACAAGAATGAGGCGTGACGCAAGGCTGTCGCTCCTGCGAGGCAAGTTGAACAGCGAGGCTTCCCGAATCGAGAAGCAACAGGCAGACGAGGACAACGACTGGATGCCAAAAATCCCCGACTATGTTCAGGATTAACAGCTTTAGGGGTGCCAGGGAACTTATCTTACTACAGGGATTTTAATTTCTACAAGCGCCCATACGGGCCAGATCGCGCATCGTCTCTTTGCGCAGACGCATATCTTCATATGAGGGGCTGTGGGAGAACCATGGAGCGGAATGCAATTTTCGCTGTCGCCGCCACGTTCAGAGGAGATGGAACTTTTCTAGTCAACAGCGTCGATAAGAGGTGGTTTCCAATTGCTTTCGAAATATAAATACATAAACCGCATTGACTTGATCCCGGCTTGTTATTTTCTCCTGTGATATTGGCCGCGCCTCTTATCATGACCAGGAGTGAAGGATCGCCGATATGATTAGGGGCCATTGTAGAATCTAATATCTAAATTTGTCTAGAAATCTATGTCTAGAAAACAAATCTGCTAGCCAGACACCGCCAAATTTTATACTGAGAATCGGCCAATATAAGGCTCCAACCACAAACTCCCTCTACCGACGCCCATATTCCCACACTTTCACCCCCAGCACTAGTAGGGCTTTTGACCAACACTTCGTCAAATTAGTGGAAAATCTCAAGGCAAATGAATGGCGGGAACTTACATGTTACCAGCTGGTGAGTAGCGAGCGACCACATAGGTCTTACCCGAGGCAGACTGCGCAGTAGCCATTCCAACCTTGGTGGTAGTCTTCCAGACGCATTGAGCTGGATGCTGTCAGAAAGTTGCTCTTCGTTGAGATGACAGCTGCTCTTGGACGATGTAACTTACTGTAGTGACCATAGTCTGAGAACTGCTTTCCGTTCGAGCTGGCCTGAGGGATAGCCTGCCCGGTGTAGTATTGCTTCTCGTTGAGCCACCAGGTGGTAGCAGCAGCATACGGGAGGCTGCCGCTGCCATACTGGTAGTAGAGGTTCTCGCCTTCATTTCCTCTGTTCGCGTCGTGCTGTAGCTTGTCGATGCTCGCGAGGGTCTTGGCATATACTTGAGCATCGTTGGCAAGACCGGCGTCCCAGGTCAAAGGTGAACATCCAACAAGCTTTCGCGCCTCATTGTGAAGGTTTACGGCATTCTGCTGGTCGGCGGTAATGCCTGGAATCGATGTAGGCGAGGTTATAGAGGTAGCGGAAGCAGTTCTGCTGCTGGACGATCTAGTGCTGGATGTTCTGCTGATGGTCGAGTTGGCCAATCCCGTTGAGCTGGTCAACTTGACCGTGGTTGTGAGGATGGAAGTTGACCGGATGATCGTGGTCTTGTCAAAGATGGCGGGAGTGCCGGCTGCTGGGAGCAGACTCTGGACATCAACAAGAACAGGGGCTTGCGCCGTGACGCTGGTAGCAAGCAGAGCCGCTGAGAGAGTTGCACTGGTCGAGAAACGCATGGTGGACAGAATTATCTAATCTCCGGGATTCGAAAGTCGGGCAAATGTCGAAAAGAAATAAAAGAATAAGAAAATGGTTCCTGCCAAATGCAAAGTTGAAGGATACCCGTAAAATAAGTGGGAAGATGGACACGATGTGTCAAGGGAGAGTAGCAAAGGTGAGCTGGAGAACTGAAGAGAATCCCTTGAACCTGGATATTCCAGCTGCCATATATATCATTCCATGTTTCCCAAGTGCCCTTCGAGTTCTCCATGAAAGGCCGGTATTTTTGCTGTTTTCGTCCCCATCTCATTCGAGACCATTGGCCATTCTTTGACGCTCAAGCCACGACATCAGGTAATTAAACAGTAAGACAGAGTGTCTCGCTTTGGTGCGGCAGGACGGCAGTCAAGCCCCCTCAGCCTCACCCCATCTAGCCCACGAGCTCTTTGTTGAATATGCGAAACACCTTTCGTCGCTTTTGGAAGACTTGAGGGATTTTGTCGCTCAAGTATGGCCCAGAACTACGCAGTAAAACCACGCAACAGTAGTGTTTGCAGCCATTCGTGATCAAGATGCTGCAAGCCCAGACAGCTTCAGCGCGCCTCCGTCGGAAGAGTTCAATTACCCCTGATCGCCCAGACACACGCATTCCAGCGGTTCTTATCGCCCGTCAGTGGCGGCAGAGTCAGCGCAGTATCATATGGCCCGGGCAGTTTCAAAAGAGAGGTGTCTGTGATTTCATTGGCATGTAAGGGGCGTAGAAATGCAATCCTGTTTCCCCGTCATCTCCCCCTCTCTTGGCAATAAGCTCTTGAACATCAATAACCTTATTTGCCAAGTACGAAGTCGGCGATGATAATTTGTGCAACGCCAGCTCCATTGTGATCCGCATCTCGTTTTGATCGGCATCTTCTGGTCCTAACTAGCTCAGGGAAGCTTTCCGGCTTTAGTGCGATGTCGACGCGTCAAACCTTTGGCGGCGTTATTCGCACTTGGCGATCTTCAGCGACGTGTATTCTGCCGACCGATGATAACGCTAACCCTTAATAATTGTTGACAGCTGATGGCGCGAAGGAATGCACGCCGAGCTGCGAAGGATCAGAGCATGCCAACCCCATCCCACGAGCGTTTCCCAGACGGATTGTGTTGCGTTTCGGGAGCCGCGCCAAGCTAAGCGCCCGGCAACACCGCAATCCCGACTGCCCACGATGATGGAATAGCATTAACTCAAGTTTGGCCGTCGGCACAGCAGTATTTCCCGAACTGTCAAGTCTCCGACCAGTCAGCACCAATGCATGTGCAACGTGCTGTCTACGCTAATGCTCCGCGTCTCAGCTGTGGAACATACGTATCCAAACTCGTGCAACAGACGTCATCGATGTTATCCTGGAGCAATTCTGACGCTCACAAGACAGAAATCTGAGCCTTTCAACTACAAATCATCGTTGCTGCTGCGAGATTGACAGGCAAACTTCATGACCAAGATATGATATCTCAAGTCTGTCGAATTTCAGGGTCCAGTGGTGGCAGAATCTAGCTGCTGTTCCAGGAACATGGACGAGCTAGTTTGTACCGATCCAAGCCTCACGTTGAGTTCTAAGCCGCGGGACCATCCGTAGCTCCTCATGGTCCGAGTGGCTAACAGGCCAGATCCTCGTTGAAGCGTACTACGGAGACGCTAGAAACAGCCTCTGCTGACGCGGCTGCGGCCTTAATGAAAACTTTTTGGTTCATTGTGTAACTTTCTTTGACTCTCTCCGAACATCAAGAGTTCCCACCTGGACAATGGCTTCAGAAAGCTTGCGTCGTTCGCCACGTCAGCTCATGTCTATGGCAAAGCGCTGGCCGATTGAGTGCTTGTTGTCAATCTGTTCGACGTAGGACGTTGCAGTCAGTGGCTCTTCTTCACTTCCGGCTTCAGACATTAAGTGCTGATCCAATACCCAAGTGCAGATCTTATTCGATGCGAATCGACACGGATGTGCGTCAGGTCTGGCAGCGACAACTGCTCATCGCGCGTTGAACAAACCCTTTTGTCAACGGCTTTTCAATTATGAATCGGTGGGTGGAAGAGCAAACAGCTCTCGACTGTGCTGGCTGGTGGTCTCGCCGGTCCTCGTCTCAACTCAGCGAATGCCGAGTCACAAGAAGCAGTTTCCAGCAGCGAGTCCATCCGGGTGCCCCGTCACGGCGCATACTACAACCGAAGCATAGAAAACGGCCATTTGGGGGTCAGTCTAGGCTTTCCTCTTCGGGACATTGCCGGGCAAAAGTCTTCCACTTCCGGCGTCTGCGCCGGAAGTGGGGGGTTGCCAGCCGAGACACTTTAGACCAAGGGAACCCTGAAATGCGAACCGGCCGTTATATCGCCAGGAAGAACCTTCAGTTGAAGCACGGAAGTTTTTTTCGGCGAGGAGGCTTCATTTGAATACATGGCTGAACGTTTGCCAGTCGCTGGAGTAAGACTTTCATGAACCCACGGCAGTCAGAATATCAGGGTGCATTGGCAGGATGAGGTCAACGGCCAAGCAGTATTCAGCTGAGAAGCCGAAGCCCTCTAAGACCCAATCTAAACCGGCTAGACTGTATTCTTCAGCTGCCAGCCTGCCAGTGGAGCAAGGTGTACCAAGACATTATTACCCCTCGAGGTTGCCGAGCGCAATTGGTCTAGACCATGTTCTTTGTTCTCCGACGATTCTTGATCCCACTCCGGATGCGGAGATCACGTCCCGTAACACAGCTCAAAACCTTTTCTCGGGCCGGAAAACAAAATGATCATCCGGCAATCGTCATCGGCGCAGTCAAAACAGTCCGAAACATTAGCACTAATCTCATCATGAGATGGTTGGCGAAGAAAGTTACGTCAGAACGTGTCGTCATGCAGCTCAACATCGTGAGGATCAGGAAGGTTGTGACATCCTCAAAAAATGACAGCGATGATCAGTATGAGGCTTGAACTCATGACCTTGGCATTACTTAACATGTTAGATGGCATATTAGTACCACGCTCTGATCAACTGAGCTAACCGACCAGGTTGATACCCGCCTGAGTGGATGTCGATGCTCCACGACTTCCACTCGAGCCTTGAGATTACACCTGCTTCCATGCATCAGCCATTGAAATCTCAATGGTTCGCTGATGATTACAGCTGATTCTGGAACCCTTTGAGGGCCAAAAATGCGTACCAGCAGGGGGTGGTCAGTAATTTGGAAGAGAGAAAGAGAAAAGGGAGCAGCTTCACTAAATTGGTCGCCTGGCTGAGGCTATCAACTGCTAATAGAAACGTAATTAACGTATGTCGATTGGAAATGAAGTTAATGAAAACAAACATTTAATGATTGACACCAAAAGTCACGCTGGGGTCAACTTGAAGACGCAAAGGCAATGGCTGCATCCCATGTAATGACTGTAAATTTAAGGATAATAATCAGATACAAATAATTATTCTATGTATGTCGCTCGTCTTGTAACGTCAACCGGAACAAGCCGACTAAATGCGTGTGTGCCGAAAGGCAGGGTCCGATGCCGTGGCTCTAATACTACTTTTGACGCGGCTGTACGATCCGTAACATGTACATCAAAGTCCCTGAGTAAGGACCAGACCGAGACCAAAATGGTGTTTTTAGCTAAAGTTTCACCCGGGCATTTCCACGCGCCGCCTCCGAAAGGGAACCAATGCCCTCGTAGACCACTTGTGCTTAGTGTTGCTGTTGAGTCATCTGTTGTCGTCTTCGTGTCCGAGATAATGGGGAATTGATCAGCAAGTGGGTAATTGTCTGCTTTACGGAGAGGTCCGCTTCCGGGGTCATCTGGATAACTCAGAAACCGCTCAGCCCAGAAAGTGTCAACAGGATGCTTCGGGACACTGTCAACGACAGGTCCTTCGTTCCAAAATGTTGTATCAAGTCCACCAAGCCAGCTTGCTGTCATCGTAACAGTACCAGCTTGGTGTGAGCCGAATCCAGTTTGAGGAGATGTACGGCCTGTAGCGCCAGCAACGTGAAGTCTGAGTGTCTCTCGATAGACGGAGTTGAGGAGGGGGGCGCTCCCCAGACTGGGAAGATCCAGGTGAGCTAGATTGTCCGTTGAAAGTTCATGGCGCATACGATACGTGAGTGACTCGTCCGAAAGCGTGTGCAGAATCATCCATGCTGCTGCTGGTATTGTGTTTGCGGTTGTTCTGTGAGTCCGGTAAGCAGGTGAACGGAAGTCAGGACCAAGTCTATGGAACAAACTTACACAAACAGGTAACCCAGGAGAGCTGAAGCAATTCCATCATCCGAAAATCCAAGCTTTTCGTGTCGTTGTACCATTCTTCGGATATAGAGAGTCCCCCAGACTGGTTCATACTCCCCACAGTCGAGATGACCTTCGTCTGAAGAATCATGCTTAGCCTTGCATTGAATGCGCCACGCGTGGAGATTTTGAAGCATCTTGTCTCTCTTCTGATACTTTGTCGGAAACAGCCACCTTGGGAGTTGGCGGGAGATGACGGGAAACGCATCATAGAAATCCCAGAAATCTTGACAGAATGACGGACAAATCTTGAAAATCATCTCTCCGTAAAGAGCTTCCACTTCGGCTTTGAATATGGAGTCCCTGATGAATGTGTAGAGATCCGGGATATGGGTAGTTGGAGCATCGAGTAGTTGTCCTTGGAGTTCATTGCAGAAGTTGTTCTCGAATCTTTTCATGATGGCCTTCAGACTATCGCCGTTGAGAAATGAAGTGAAATCCCTTCGCTGATGTTCAATGATTCTCCGCGATGGGTCTACATGATTGGTTCGGTGGCCTTCGCTGTCGTGAAGCTCGAACCTGGTGACATGACCGTGGTCGAATACAGCATGGTCCTTGGCCGTCAACCCGAAGAAAACAGTCAAAGCGTCAAATAATCCAGGAACAGGAACATGTTCCTTCGATTGTCGGAATAATGCTCGTGTGCCCTCTCCAGGCAGAGCTATGCTTAGGTTTCTACCAGGGAGAGAGACAGGGAAGACCTGGCGACACCCGTCTCTGCGGAAGTAATCAGAAAGATAGATTTAATCAAAGCGTTGAGAGATGAACGTACTGGAGCCGACGGAGGAAGTTTTCCGTAGCAAAAGTCAATGCCAGTGGATCCGTAATGAAGGAAAGAGTCGTAGGGAACTTGATGATATTCCGTTCACTTCCACCCTTCACCCGCAGGTGTTTTCGGTTGAGCGAGGAATACAAGAGGTATGTGAAGACTAATGGAATGGCAAGTACCAGACCGTGACCGAGGAAGCGTCCCAGTAATTGGGTAGCAACATGGCCAAGAGCAGGGCTGATTGTAACCTGCGAGGCAATGTATTGAGAAAGCATGTTACTGTTGATGAATGGTTGGATTGTTCGGTTGACGACGAGGAAGACCCAAACTGCCAGGCATTTCACACGAAGCAGCCGTAACACAGCGTCTCTGTAATCCTTTTAAATATGCAATGCACGGCAGACCGCCAAGCCGGTCCGAAATAAGAAGCAGCAGGGCAAACACGGCCTCTTCCTACCCATCCTGATAATCTGACTTTCATTTGCGTTTGCTGTGATTGGGGGCCCGAAAGCAACTCGAAGCCAAACGCACATGCCACTCGGATGCAGATGGCGCTGGCATGCCTGTCCGTGTAATTGGGCTGCCAAGTCTCTTTGTACCTTGGAAAAGACATCACCATGCATTGGGCCAACCAATACCCATGAATCGACCGGAGCTACACCCCGAATTAGGATATATGTCGTCCACAAACAGTGGCTTATCCCTCAACCCCCCAACGTGAGATTCTCGTCGGCTGGGGTCGAGACAATGACAACAACCCATGGTGTTGATTGTGTGAGTGCCTTGAGGTCCAGCAGCATGGAACCGAGAGTGAAGGACAATTTCATTAGCCTGACTTGTTCTCCCTCCCTTGGCCACTTCCGACTGCTTCGTATCAATCATTCGGGGTTAATCGCGTTGGACCTTCCGCCCCGCAATCACTCCCACCATTCTTTCCTCTGTGCAACTACATATGCAAAAGCTGTAAGCGCCCGATGCCACCCCGGGAGGGCTGTGAGGCTCTGCGGACGTTGGGGGCTCCTCTGCGCCGTGCTATGTGCCGCGGTAAGCTAAATGCCAGCACATGTAGCGCGCAATTGGCTGCCATTTTGGTGACACGTCGTGTGGAATGTCGTAGTTAATATTGAAAATTGCCCCCGGTACGTCTTTTGTCCCTTTCGGGTGCAAGTTCAGGTCAGTCGGCAGCCGTCGAGCATTTCCAGTCATATTGGTTGCACAATCCCTTCCGTAGACACGAGACTGAAGTGATGGGCAGTGGCTGCAGTATGTCACATGCATTGCAAACGTCGCGTGTAATATAGCATCAACGCCGAGCCGGATCTGGAGGTCCTGCAACTATAACGGCACGAGCAGCGGGCTCTCGGGTCCTCTTGTGGCCAGTGGCTTTTCGGGTGGCTTGCCGGTGACCCCTTCTGCATAGGACACGTAGATCAGGTCCCTGCCATGCTGGCCACTTGCCAGTGGACTGCGCCGTAGTCGGGACTTGGCAATTGGCGAGGTTCCAACGGGCGGTTGCGCCAACAAGGCCAACAGGTCCAACACGGGCTCCCGGTCAATCATGTTCAGGAGCCGGGCACCCATTCTGCAGCAAACAAGCAACGGATTATCGGCCGTAAGAACGGCCGTAAAGCATGTCTGCCGACAGTCTTAGTTCCCGTTGTGCGACATTTAACCGTTTTGAATGGATCATCTGTGTCATCCATTTTACACCGCTAGAGTGATTCGAACTGGTGTGGTGTTTCAACTGTGACAGGAAATCGAGATGGTGGGTGTGTTGAATGTTACCATGTTTTCGTGCAGAACAAGTCGACACGTTGCCGGTCGATAATCAGCTCAGTATGCAGTTGCTGAGCTGAAAAAAAGCCAACGAAAGAAACCAACACATCATTGTTGGAAGCGCGCGCTGCAAGATGCCTGCTCTTATCTCGAGCATATTCCCTTTTTGTAGTTGTTGACAGGGGTTTTGGACCAAAACTGTGTTGGTTAAGACCCCGCCACCCATCTACGGCGGCAGCGCAGTTGCTAAGTTCGTCTCGTATGAGGAGTAGGAATGTGCGCCGCACGCATGCTTTGCCGCTCGGAAAATGGACGCACGTAAACCGGCTTTTCTTTTGAGATAGTGCACCTCAGTGACATCGTCATTATCTACCTTGCAGATGCCTTCTGTTGCATGAAGGATTGCGGCGCAAGATCAGCCACCCCCACTAAGCTGAAGATCCCGACATCTAAAGACCTTGCAGGCATCCTTCCCATAGACTTTGAACAAAGAACTAGCGTATTTTCTCAGTTTTCCCGCTTCAGCCTTTCGAATATCCGTGCGGCTGACATGACAGATGAACCAACATGTACGAATCAAGACGGCTTGGGGTCTTTTGGACGGATACCATCCCAGCACGATCGTGGCAAAAGACTCGGATCTGAAGTTGAGAGGAAGAACAAGATGTATGGCTGTGCCGAAATGAAATCTGGTTCGCCCACGTACAGCTGTGCAGTCTCACCTCTACGCAGAGTTGAAGACTCGGCAAAACGCTGGGGCAAACCCCTTGTCGACGAAACTGGCGGCGAAGCATAGCCTTGTTCACGAGTTAGCTGCACATGGCAAATGATCTATTTCCAAAGCAAAAACGGAAACAGCTTCAGTTGCGAGGCAAAGCTTGAGTTTTCAGAGCCTAGCCTTGACGCTTTTTGCCAAGTGACGGAAGTTCTCCAGTTTCAGGTCAACAGCACTCGCCACTGCTTGCCCGAGGTGCAAGCAGTGGCGAAATCTGGGCTCTGGTAGCCCAGTTGGCAAACAATCCCTCGGAAAACCGATTTTCCCAATGTAGCAAAGACTCCGCTGAGCAATTTCTTGGTCAAGCAAACATTGCGTATGTGGTCGATACGGGTTGTGGCGTCACTTTCTCACACCACGGATGCCCTTCGTCTGCAAGTCATGACCAATGATTGGACTGTGGGCTGACTGAAGT